TTAAGTAAATGCTTTGTTTTATAATAAAAAGTATTAATAACATTTGCCGGTCTGAATGTCCGAGAAATTTTCATAGAAAATATTCATTCTCCGACAGGAATCGAACCTGTATCCTATACAGAACCGTCATTTAGCCTGGACCAATTGAGCCATGGAGAATCGTTCGATTGGCGGCGGGGGGGGGGGGTTATGATTTTACTACTTTTAAACTTCAATCTTCCATGAATCTCTCACGTACATTCATATCTGTTCAAAGCATATCCAAATGTATACAAATGACAAACAAATATACATATATACACAGGCGACAATATATACAAATGGATCTCAGAATGTTTGTTTAATATTCATTAATTCTATATAGATATAAAAAGAATGTGATAATACCCAGTAAATTGAAAAAGTGAGAACTGCCCACTGTAATTTCTTTTGTACAATTTCTTTTCTAAAACACAAATCGTTGGAACAGACAGTTGATAAATGATCGATTGTTTTGCTCTTGTGGCTATTACAGCTACAGTCAACGACGAAATTATTCGTACGCCCATCAATTTTGAATATTTTTTTATCCATTTCTCAGAATCTAACTCCCGTAGGATGCTAGGGTTTTTTTTATATGTTAATAAGCACAAGAAAAGGAATATAAAACTCGATTTTCAGAACAATACATTAAATACAACAAATTTGACAGGCGAATTATGCAAAATAGGAAAAGACAAAATTGAAAAAAGAAAAGCGAGAAATGCACACCGTAATTTCTTTGTTCAATTTCTTTTCGAAAAAGAAAATGTTTTCGTTTCCATTAAAATTTTCGTCCAATCTCTTCACCTTTTAGTTACTGCTTTTCAATTATTTCACTGACAAGAACAAATTACATCTACAGTAAATAATTAACATATCTATACATGTGATTAACACTCCCACCTATCTCCGTGCTTCTATACACATCACACACATAGACACATGTCTCTATATTTATGACTATTTATAGTGTTAGGTTAGCATTAAATTCTTTTATTATCCAAAAGCAAATCCGTCTAATTTATACTTTCGTATTATCTTCAATGTTTCGATTTGTTGTCAGAAAACCTAAACCGTTCTAAAATAATTTAAAACAGATTTTCAGACGATTATCCCTTGGCTCAAAAATGTTCATTATTTCAATGTCAGTTTAAATTTCGTTAGGCAAATTTTAATTTCTTATATATTGGCTAACAATTCCTAATACATATATTGGCTAAATATTTTTAAAACATATATTTGCCTATAATTTCTAATACATATATGAACTAAAATGTCTAATACGTAGTCATCGACGAAATTATTCGTACACTCATTTATTTTTAATATTTCTTAGAATTTAATGCCCGTATGTTGCCAGGTTTTTATATGTTAATAAGCACAAAAAAGGAATATAAAACTCAATTTTCAGAACAATAGGTTAAATACAACAAATTTGACAGTCAATATTCCTTATTGTGTGCTTATTTTCATATAAAAAAAACCTGGCCTCAGATTTTGAGAAATGGATAAAAATGTTCATTATTTCAATGTTAGTTTAAATTTCGTTAGGCAAATTTTAATTTCTTATATATTGCCTAACAATTTCTAATACATATATTTTCTTACCGTTTTTAATACATATATATAGACTTATAATGTCTAATACATGTATTGCTTTTTAATTTTTAATCCATATATTGGCTTTATTTATATGGATTTTTAAACCTATATAATTTCTTATTACTGCAAACATTATTTTTAAGCTGTAAAGGTATTGATATCCCGGTTTTTGTTTTGTGTGAACTTGTTTTTATTAAACAGAGAAATTAATAGCAACTGGCTCTATGTCGACTGTTGCTAATTTCCCAGTTCAATAAATATGAAAAAAAAAGCCCAACAAAATAACAGCGATAAACACACGTGACCCGCCACCAAATAAAGTTTATAGTGATAAATTGGCTTATAATTTCTAATGCATATATTATACATATCGTTTTTTTAATCGGTATCAACCGATGCTAGGCTGTAAAGTCAGTAACAAAAATTAGGAACAGAAACATTAATAATGAGCAGGAAGAAGAAATAATAATCAGGTGAACAGTATATAGCGATTGACATTGCATACAAATTGTTGAAGATTAAATCTGAGTGGAAAGTACGGAGCTAGAAGGAAGTTCCACAAGCGAGAAGTGCGAGAGAAGAAACTATTAACATATAATTTATGGTTACTCTAAATTGGTGAGATCTCGACGCCAGTCTGGTACTACGCTTAAATTCATAAAGTCTACGTATCATTGCGCAGAGCGATATTTATTTCGGCTTCAAATACAGAAAATGTGGCACAAGGCCAAAAATTGGGAATGGGGAAAAGGACGGTCTTCTTCTGCCTTAAAATTAAACTAAGCTAGCCACAAACACTGAACCAAACATACCATAATATTCCTAACACCAAAACAACTCATTCTTAACTTTCTTACTACATCCACCATAATACCACATTGTCTCTATGAAAATCCTAACTAGTCCCCATATATACAATTCATTGTTTGTGAGGAAAAGGGTAATAAAATAACAATACCATAGGGAAGAGCTAATCTGAACAATTACT